ACAAAAAGGCCATACATTAATTTTGTCTGGGATACTGCCCAGAATCAACAGTGGGGATGAAGTTATAAGTAGGTCACTAGGGCTATATGCTAGGCTTAGGTGAGGATGTGAGGATGAGCAGATTGACTGGTTGGACTTGTGGGATCAGTTGAATGGAAGAAGGAAGCATTTTGGAATGAATGGTTTACATTTGAATAGGTAGGGACTGGCTTGTTTGCTAGGGCTGTTAACACAACTGAAAAGGAAGTTTTAAACTAGAACTAGACAGTGGTGAGGGCCAGGATAAACTAAATGCAAAAAAAAAAGAGAAAAGTTTAGCATAGGAAATGAGTACATAAATAGTTATAAGGATAGGCTTAATTGTTACTCTTGTAATGTTATTTTAATGGTTAAATGTAGTTGATTTTTATAACAGAATTTTATTTGAATTGCAGGGTTACAGGCTATTTAATAGGGTAAATTACCAAAGAAATGGAGGGTAGTGGCTCTATATGTAAATTGTGAGTTACATCCTGTTGAAGTTAAAGATATTAAAGATAATAGCAAGGAGATTGAAACCATTTGGATTTCTATTAGTGGATATAAAGGGAAAAGGCTTTTAGAGGAAATTTGTTACAGACCACCAGATGATACTGATGAAATTAGTGAGAAACTTTACAGTGAGATTAAGATTTTAGCTGTTAATGAAGTCATAATTATGGGTGATTTTAATTTCAGGCATATAGATTGGGAAAATCTAGAGTCAAACTGTGAGGGAGAAAGGTTTTTGGAAACTGTTCAAGATGGCTTTCTTCACCAATTAGTCAAGAATCTACTAGAAACAATGCCATTTTAGATTTATTGTTGACTTCCAATACAGAAATGATCGAGAGGGTGGAAATCGGGGAACATCTGGGTGCAAGTGATCATTGCTCTATTAGGTTTTATATTTTGCTGCATATGGAGATAAGGAACAATGATATTTTGTTTACAAAATTCAAAAAAGCTAATTTTGAAGGGATGTGAAAGAATTATCTGTTGTGAATTGGGCAGATGGGTTATTTGGAGACACTGATCAGATGTGAAAAAGTTTTAAAGATAAAGCTTAAAAATTCAAGGTAAACATATTCTTCATAGAAAGAAAAGGGTAGATGCAAGAAAAAAACCAGGTTGGCTCACTAAAAGTATAAGAGATAAAATTGAAGAAGAGAAAACATCATAAATTTAAGAAATTTAAATTGACTAGAATGACGATAGATTTAGAAGATTATAGAAGATCAAGAAAGTTGGTGAAAGAGGAAATTAGGAAATCAAAAAGTATGTAGGAAAAAAAGGTTAGCTGAAAATGTAAAAATTAACAGTAGAAATTTATTTAAATACAAAATGTTAGGATGGGGGTAGGATGATAAAGAAAGGTTTGTATCTGATGATTATGAGATGGCTGGGTTATTAAATTTTGCTGTTTCTTCAGAAACAAGATCGAACAAGACGACTGCATTAATTCTGAGCTGTTAAAAAAATGGGAAGTTTAAAGAACGATAAAGCTCCTGGGCTAGATATTTTCCCAAGGGTTTTGAAGGAGGTTAAGAATTGTATATGTGAGCCTTAAATAATTGGCAAGTACCAGAGGATTGGAAGTTAGTTAATGTCACTCCTCTTTTCAAGGAAGGTGAAAAAATTGTCCCAGTAATTATAGGCCTATTAGTCTTACATCAATTGTGGGAAAGTTTTGGAAAGTCTGATAAACGATGTTTTGCAAAGCTATTTAACAAAGTTTAGAATTTTATTGGATAGTCAACATGATTTCACTAAGGGAAAATATTGCCTTGCAAATCTATTTACATTCTTTGAAATGTTACTGCTTATGTAGATGAGGGTAAGGGTGTAGATTTGGTGAATCTGGATTTTCAGAAAGCATTTGACAAGGTGCCACATAAAAGGCTTTTAAAAAATATCTCTATAGGTGTGTGGCGGATAAGTTAGCAAATTTGATAGAAGAGTGGCTGGATGGAAGAATGAGGGTTGTTACAAATGGAGTTCAGTCAAACTGGATTAGTGTTACAAGTAGGGTACCTCAGAGCTTAGTTTTAGGACATTTGCTCTTTTGGGTTTACATCAATGACATAGATGAAGGATTTGTCAATAAATTACTTAAATTTGCAGATGATATTAAGGTCTTGGGTGTTGCTAGCTGTGAAGGGGTGCTGCTGATTTACAAAAGGATTTAGATCATTTAATGAGTTAGCAAATAAATGGCAAGTGGGTTTTAAGTATAATAAATGCAAGATAATGCATGTGGGTTATCATAATTTGAACTATGAGTATAATTTGGATGGGAATAACCTTACCATTGTCATGAAAGAAAGGAATCTTGGTGTAATAGTTGATCAGCCTCTTAAGCCATCCAAGCAGTGTGCTGTTGCTAGTAGTAGGGCAAATTAGATTTTAAGTTGTATCTACAAAAATAATGAATGCAAGTGTCAAGAGGCTATAATTTCATTGTATAGGTTTCTGGTTAGGCCAAATTTGGAGTGTTATGTTGTTCAGTCTTGGGAACCTTACCTTAGGAAGTACACTGAATTGTTGAAAAAGTTCAAAGGAGGGTTACTATAATGGTGCTTGGAATGGAGGAGTTGTCATACGAAAAGTCGAAATATCTCAAGTTGTTTTTCTTGAAAAAGGAAGAGTTAGAGGGGATCTGATTGAGGTGTTTAAAACTGTAAAGGGAATTCACAGTGTTCATGCATCATTTTTTTCATACTTAACTTAATAGTAGGACTAGAGGACACAAATATAAATTTTGGCAAGGTAGAAGTCATCTTCAGCTAAGACAATTTCATTTTTCTAACATGGTGGTTGGCCTTTGGAATAGGTTGTCTTTGGATTTTGTGGAGGCAGTAAATTCAAGTCAGTTTAAGAGAAAGCTTGATAAGTGTATGAATGATACGGGGTGACTTTAAGATTTATTGAAATTTATTTATTAATATTTTTAGTTTAGTTTAGAGAATGGGACAGCCAAGATGGACCAATAGGTCCCATGTTGTCCCAAAACATTATGTTATATTATATTATGTTATGAATGTATAAAACGATTTCAGAAAGGAAGTACAATTATAATAAATCAAATATGACTAGTGTTCTGGAATTTTTTATATTTTGGATGCCTTCACTTTCTAAAGTGCTCGTTTAGTATTCTCCATCTAAACCAACGCCGCATGTTTCTTAACTGTACGCTGGCAACTGTCATGTTTCGATCGATCACGAGAATAGCAGCCTCATTTAGAAATTATGTTTTAACGTAGGTGTATTAAAGTTAAAGTTTTCCCTTCTTCTAGAAAGCAAACTTAATGTGATACTATTTTTTACCAGAATTCATCCCTTGGATCATACAATTATACAAATATTACGTAAGAATAACATTTCCCTAATATTTAGAATTCTTTATTAACTGGAATCCCATATAGTGGTAGCATCTTCATAGTCTACTAAAGTTAGGGAATTAGAATCAACACCATTTTAGATAAAAGTGGTGTAAGTTTGAATCTGTTTATTAACCATTGACACTTTCGAACTTTGTAACAACAGCGATCTGTAACAACAATATTTTGGCACACCAAGTTGTAAAAACAGCCCTCTGTAACACCGTGCTGTAACAACAACGCTCTTTTATACACTCCTCTGTAACAACAACATTCTGTAACATAGAGCTGTAACAACAGCATTCTGTAACACCGAGTTCTAACACAGTGCTGTAACAAAATACACGTTGCATTGGTTTTTAACTTCTTTCTCTAACAACTGTAGAATGAATAAACAGGAATAAATTCATACACTGATTTTGTAAATCAAGCTCTTCCAAAGTTTGTGTAATGGATGGTACGTTAATAACAGCCGTTTCTATTCGTACAGTATTCAAGTGTTTAGGTCAAAAAATTTGGTTTCTATAAATTTTAGCTCAAAGTCGAGTTGTGCTAAATTAAACACATGTTTCTATGATAAATTGGGGAATTTATTTATTATATGGAATTTGCACCAGGCGCGAGGTGACAGATATACTTATTATGTAGAATTTACACCAGGTACAATGTAAGCAAAGTAAATATATTATATTTACGTAGGCACTTACAAACCATCTTTTTTGTAGCTTCTATTTATTTCGTTATTTTAAAGGATTTCGGATGCATGATTTAAATATAACTTTTCTGTTCAGTTCTGTTCCCGTTTAACCGGTATTTTAACCGCGCCAATCTGCCGATAGAGCAGTCTGTCACTTAATGTTTCCGGTATCACATGTTGTCTGTCCTCTAAAGTATCGCATTTCTTGATGAAACAAATTCCCGCCCACGGAATTAGATTTCAGCAGTTATATGAGCTTTTTGTTGCTTTTTTTTCCTGTTATTTTCGATACCTAAGGTGTTTATAATGATAAAACTGACTCATGTATAAGTTACGGTTTATCTTGCTCCCAGTACTTGCATTTCTAACGTTAAATGTTCAACGTGATAATGGCTTTAGAACGGTTTTGTTTTTTTAAAGTGAAGGAAGATTCTATTAAGTATAATTCCGTGGTAAACCTGGACTAATAACATGGGATAACCCATGTAGATGAGTCGTTATTTTGTGAATAAATTGCTGAGGTTGATATAGAACTTACGCTCACCATTCTAAGCATCTGGGCGAATTGAAGCGCGTGAAGTACATTCAACCTTCTTGGCCGTGTTCATACACCTCACCAAACCAACGTGCTCACACGCTATTCACTTCTGTGATCTTCTGTACTCACATTAATGCCTGTGAAGTGAAATGGGCGCCAAATTGCTCGTGCACTAGCGCACAATGTCTTGGCATGCGGATCCTTTAAACCGTAGGTGACATATGGCGCGTGTCTCTACTTACACTTCATCAACGCTTAAACCAACCAGAATTGTGGAATGAACCATTAGTTCCTGGGCTCGAGTTCTTTACCTACTCTAAGTGTGTCATTCATTTACAAAAGTAAGAGAAATTAAACTTTTACACACCTTGATTCCTTGGATCTTCTACTGATGCTGTCAGAGGATGAGATGCTCCAGTCAGGGTATTTGCATTTCTATCTTACAGGTGCAAGCCTCTAAGCCACATGTGCCACTCACTCTCTGCCCTCTCTCCGTTTAAATAGGAAACCACTATCAAGCCACATTACCAAAAAATCGAGACAATGAATCCGCCCCCTAAAGACGGGGAGAGCAAGTTGCAGACCGTTGCTATAGTAACCATGCATCGATTGCCTCCACACTTCAATTTTGTTGACCAATGAAGCATTCGACTGTGCTTGACATAGCATGGGATTGACAAGAATATTAGGCGGGCGGAGCAGTTAAACTGGTCCAGTCAGCTTCGTGGATTTGATAGTGTCCGCACTTGGCCTGAAAATGTGTGATAATAATGACTGGAACAAATTAACAGACAGCACGTGAAAAAATAGGAGTTTATAAGTCTTAGCTTCAAATGGTTATACCTCTGTGAACAATACATATGTACAAAGTTTACTGACGATTATATTTGTAAAGGCACAATTAGAGTTCGGAAGAAACAGCATAACTCAGTGACAAGTGGTGAATCAAATGATAGATTGGATCTCATGTTTGTTTTTGTAACACCTTCTAAACACTAACTAAACATATTTTGTGCTGTACGGCACAGACATTCTCTTTTAGTTTGATTTTCAGGTAATAAAATAAACTATTGCAAATGTAATTATATATATATATAGGCACGGACTCTCATAAATGACATGTTTGATACTTACAAAATTATTTATTGATTTTGTTTTAATGTACTGTACTATGGAACTATTTCTCATTTCTGATGTTTACATCTTTCTCTGTTGCTCATTAGTGAAACCCGTTTTCTCAGTTCTTCTGTTTATTGATAACGAGAAAGAAATATATCTGCATCCGAAGGAACATTTAGAATATATATATATTTCATTTCCGCCTCCAAGATCACCTCAATTTATACATTATTAGAAATTGTTGGCAAACAGCGTAAACATTATTGAGAACAAGTTAGTTAACCATATAGTTAAGAGCTAAAATGACTTATCAATAACATTAATATTGATAAAAATAATCTTATATACCAAACTAGAAATACATAATACCACAAATCACTATATAAGAAAAGTAAAACTTATAACTATTAGATTGAGTTGACTCGTTAGTAGATCCACGAGCTTAGGATTAAGCACAGACAGTTATTATATTTCCTCAATAGTTCGTTGAGTTTATATTTGTCCATTTCAATTTCGAGCTTGGATTCCACTTAAACCAACACTATCGTTTTTCAAGATTACACTGTCAATAGCAATTGGGTAAATGACAGGCATACAGTATCAGTTCTACTAGTTTTGCACATAATGTACTGCCATCTATCGAAAACACTTTCAATCATTCACAGCATATTTTTAAGAGATTAATATTGTGAAGGTAAAACCTTTGTTTTTTATATAAAAATAAACAGATATGCCTAATTTAGTCAATATTTATGTAATAAATTAGCTTGTTACTATTTTAAATAGCTTTTGATTTAAACGCGATAATTACGTGTGCAATTCATTCATCAAGCAACAAATTCTATTAAAAATTAATCGAACATCTATATACTACTAAAACTCTGAGATTGTTTGTTTGCTTGTCTGTAATTAAATACAACAAAAACAGCGCAAAATAGTGC